TCTTACAGATTTAACAGGTTGAAAAAGAAGGGAAAATAATAATTAAAATACTGCAGCTGCTCTGTCACTTTACGCCCAGCAATTTAACTCTTCACTGTTATTTAGCTTCAGGAGGCTCAAGTATATTGTTTTACTTCCGGAAAGTAAACTCATCACCAGAACCAAGCTTAAAAATGCTGTTAATGGTAAGCGTACAAACACAAACAGAGGCCAGCTCCTATGCACAGTGATTCTTTTTTTGGTAGAGGAGCAGGCTCTCTCTTTCTTTCTTTCTTTGCGATCTCCTTCTAACAATTTACAGGAAATCCTTTTGTTGATTGCAGTACAGGTCTCTAAGATGTTTAATCTGTTGCAGCCTATTTCAGGGGCTGGGGGTCAGGTTACCATATTGAGAAACCAGATCACCTTCTGAAGGTTCTTTTACAATGCAGTACACAACAGCAGAAGAATCGGGAGCAGGAGAAGGCCATTCAGCCCCTCAGGCCGGCTCTGCCATTGGAATGAGAGTAGAGCCAATCTGATTATGGCCCTCAACTGCATTTCCCAGTCTCCTCCCACACCCTGCAACTCCCTGTTGATAAAACATCCAACTAACTTAGCTTTGAGTATATTCAATGAACCTCCCGCCATTGCTTTCTGGAGAAGACAATTCCACAAACTAAAGACCCACTGGGAGAAATGAATTCTCCTCACTTCAGTCTGAAAAGGGAGAGCCCTAGTTTTTAAACTCAGCCTCGTTGTTCTGGATGCGTCTACAAGGTGTGAATATCCTCTCAGCATTCACCCCACCAAATCCCAAGGACCGCAATTTTCCCTCCACAGTGGTCGAAAACGCCCTCGACCGCATCTCTCGCGTTTCCTGCAACTCATCCCTCACACCCCCTCTCCTCAATAACAACAAAAACACAATCCCCCTCGTCCTCACGTACCACCCCACCAACCTCCGGATCCACCGCATCATCCTCCGGCACTTCCTCCATCTGCAGTCTGACCCCACCCTTATCTGCCTTCGGGAGGGACCACTTTCTCCGTGACTCCCTTGTCCGCTCCACACTCCCCACCAGCCCCACCACCCCCGGCACTTTTCCCTGCAACTGCAGGAAGTGCTACACCTGCGCCTACACATCCCCCCTAACCCCTATCCCAGCACCTCATATTTCGCTTGGGAACCCTGCAGCTCAATGGTATCAATGTGGACTTCACAAGCATCAAAATCGCCCCGCCCCCGACCGCATTCCAAAACCAGACCAGCTCGTCCCTGCCTCCGTAACCTGTCCGTCCTTTCTCCCACCTATCCACTCCTCCCACCTCAATCCCAACCACCACCTCCTACCTACCAGCCTCATCCCCGCCCCCTTGACCTGTCCGTCCTCCCTGGACTGACCTATCCCCTCCCTAACTCCCCACCTACACTCACTTTTACAGGCTCCATCCCCGCCTCCTTGACCTGTCCGTCTCCTCTCCACCTATCTGCTCCTTTAACCATCTTCCATCCGCCTCCCCCTCTCTCTCTATTTATTTCAGAACCCCCTTCCCCTCCCCCATTTCTGAAGAAGGGTCCAGACCCAAAACGTTAGCTTTCCTGCTCCTCTGATGCTGCTTGACCTGCTGTGTTCATCCAGCTCTACACCTTGTTATCTCAGATTCTCCAGCATCGGCAGTTCCTGCTATCTCCCCTCAGGATCTTGTTTCTTTCAATACAATAACCTTTCATTCTTCTAAAATCCAAATGGAATAGGCCCAATCTGCTCAACCTTTTCCCATAAGATGAACCCATCATCTCAGGAATCATTCCAATGAATCATTTTTGAAAAAGGTCTAATATAATTATGTGCCTTTTTTAATGAGGAGACCAAATGTATGCAGTACTGATGTCATCAAACTAAGGCACTGTATTTGGAAGCAAAAGCTGAATCTTACAATTTTTGGGGCAAAGTGTAAGTCAATTTATTTAAGGAATTCTTGCCATGCGGCTTGGTGAGACTTATTACTGTTAGTGTCACAGTCTTTGCTCTGCTACCTCACACTCACTCTTTCTCTGCTGCTGCAACCATCTCCTGCCAAGGCTCAAGCTCTAACCAGTCTAGCTATTGGCTTCAGCACCTTCCCTCACCCAGTCTCATTCCCTCACAACCTCCCAACACCATTAGCCCTCACGGACTCTGTGCTGACTATTCACTCGCTCGAGACACTTCACTGTTTGTCGACCACCTCCGCCAGCATTAACAGCCATGCGACCCAGTTTTATCTCATTCAATCCCTCTTTTTCTCTCATTCCTGGAGAATACAGCCCACAATTGGGCAGAAAGACCTGATGGGTGGAGGAGATACCAACCCCTCATCCCCTGCAAGGAGAGAAACCTGTCCCTCACAGGAGACCAGAACCATTTCTGTGGGAATGTTGCAACATCCATGTCTGGTCAAATAAATGCCACCCTCCATTTCACTGTGACTCTTGCAGAAACATCACTGTCAGACTCATTCATTGAACATTACTTCTATCCACTAACCCTGGCACTTACTCTCTCACGTGCATTGCACAGACTGCCAACATCTCCACCACCTCTGCTGGATCCCACTGAATCCACCTCCTCAGTCTCTGAGGATGAGAGTACTGACGCCTCAGGGGAAGCATCAGCATGGCAGCCTCCTGCAGCCACTTTGCACGTTCCCCCCCCCCCACCCACCATCCACACCAGCTCAGGTGCTAGCACCTCAATAGGACCACATTAGGCTTAGAGAGTGTGGAGAACACAATGCAGGGAGCCCCTCAATGCAACAGCTCCACAGCTGGCCAAGTTAAAAAGGCCCAGATCTCTGGCACATAGAGAATTGCTGGAGACTAGGCTCAAGATACAATGGTCCTTGGTTATCTAACAAATCTATGCACTATATTGTGGCACGCTGGCAGGCAGAGAGAAAAGGAAACCTACTGAGGATATTTTGGAGACCTGGGTGACATTGCAATGGAAATGAGTTCTCATGTTTGTGTAAGTGTCTTTGTTTTGGCTCTATATATGTTTGTTAATCTCTCTGTCTGGCCCTGAATGTCATTACATCAATGTGATTCATGGTCACTCTGGCTAAGCCATGGATTGATGTTTGTGTTGAGAGCCTACTGCAACATCTGGAAGCAAAAGGAACAAGGTGCATGCAGGGTAATAGGTTCTGCAGACACCATCGCCCCTTGTCCTACACTTTCCTGATTCTTTCCCTAGTCTTTGTGTGCAAGAGTGTTGGTATAAATAAGGTGGTTGGTGATGCCTGGGGCAAGGGCATGTGCAGCATACAGGAAATCAATATGTTTGAATCATCAGGGATTAGAATCCCCAGAGCTCTATGTCTGGTACAGTTCATGAGTAAGTGAACAACATTGTTTCCTTTTGAAGGGCCTCATATCAGTAGGTCCTACAGCCCCCTCCCTCACTGATCCAGTCACTTGATTCATCCACACTGGCATGGACACAGTCAGTTTCTTTCCCATTAACTGCTTTTGGTTTCCACTGCAATAGAAGGCCACAATGTGCACTCTTTGCCCAGTGACACCTAGCCACTTGCTATACATGTTGGTGAGCTCCAAATATCCAGATACTCCTCCTGATGGCTTTTTCCCATCAACCTCATTGGCTTCATAGCTCCCCACATCTCCATCCAAGCCATCTACATAGCTCTGCCCCACCCACCGTTTCCCCTAAGCCCCTGGGAAATGAGGTGAAGATGCCAAGTGTGGTCAAATACAGTGCACTCTTTTGAACCTAGGGTGCTCATGATCATGGATGAAACCATTCCCGCATAAGCCCCTTCCCATCCGTGCTCCACTGTATCCATCCCCACCAAATAGTCTTACCCCGCTCCCGCAATTGTCATTCCCTCTACCCCCCCTCCCACCCTGGACACAGTCTGCTTCCCACAATCCTAAAGAACAGTTTCTTAAATCTCATTCCCAAAGCCCCTTTCCCCTTATTTGCTCTGAGTGGAGCCAACAGACTGATAGTGCCCCATTCCTTCAAGAGACCTTAGCAGACAGTCTCAGATGCAAATTACCTAGACCCCAGGCTGATGCATGTACATCTCCCCAAAAATGTTTGGCCCCAGCACCCCTCCAGAATGGCCAATATGCAACTGCAGGAGTGACTGTGATTCATTCCCTCAACTGTGGAGGCAGTCCTCTTACACGAAACCCCTTGACTGGGACCACCCAGATTTGATGCCTGATCGTATTCAGTCTCTGGGACTGGTATCAGAGGATGCCATTGACTCACTGTGCTAGGACCCCCTGACTGATGGCTGCCTCAGTTAACTTGGCTGAGGACTCCTCTCCTAAGACTATGCCATGATATAGAAATGCCAGTGTTGGACTGGGGTGGACAAGGACAGAAGTCACACGACACTAGGTTATAGTCCAACAGGTTTATTTGAAATCACAAGCCCCTAATGACTTGAGGAATTAGCTTGGAGGTGGGGTGGGCTGGCTGGAGCAGGAGGAAGTTCTATCTTGCTGCACCTTGGCCTCTATTTATATTCACTCATGGGATTGCTGTCCATCCCTAATTATCCTGGAGAAGGTGCCTAGTGAGTGGGCTTCTTTACCTGATGTAATTCTTTTGGTGTAGCGTTGTTTGGAAGGCAGTTGCAGGATTTTGATCTAGTGACAGTGAAGGGAATAGTGACGTCATTCATAGTGTGTGGCTTGGAAGGGAAGTTGCAGATGGGGATGATAATAGGAAATGATATTCTCAATCAATTGAAACATAGCATGAAGATTTCCCAAATGCATTATGCTCAGTGAGCTGTAAGAGCATTCCGTTCGGGAAAAAAATATGATTTTCCTTGAATTAGTAAGCAAAGGACACATTCTCCCATTAATGGGACAGTATCAAGGTTAGATACATTCTGTCCTATGCTTGACCTGGGAGTACTTCATGAAGCATTGTAAAGGAAGCATTTCTCTGCATTGAATAATTCTTTACGCAAAGCCAAAACAGAACAGATTACAAAGGTTACGGATGAGTGCTTATATTTTTATTGAAGCATTTCCCACACCAAGAAGCAGACATTCAGCTTGAGTCCTGACTTTTGGCTGCCTTTCAGACTCGAACATCATCCATGCACTTGGGAAGTTATTGTCCCTCTAAATGTGCAGTCACCACAGTGACATTCACTGACTTACAGCTCATCTCGTGGAGCTTTCAGTGGAAAATGCTGGAATTCCTTTGGTACTTCCTCTCCTTTTGCTGATTTTTTGTAGAATCCCAATGACTCAAGAAGAGCAGATAGTTGGTCGGCCGTCATATCCCTTACCAGGTAACTCTGAAGGAAGGAGAGCAGAATGGGCTCAGTGGAAAGATATCTCTATAAGACATCAGTTGGAACAATTATCTTCAACTGCCAACAACTACTTTTGGTAAAATTACATGGAGAACATAAAAGAAAAATCAGCTGATGGATAATTGTCATTTCCTAGAGAAGCTAGGGTTGCAGAATAGGTTAAGAGGAGATTTAATATAAGTGTTCAAACTCATGAGGGGTTTTGATAGAGTAGACAGAAACTGTTTCCATTTCCAGGATAGTCAATAGCTAGAGGACATATTGGCAAAATAATCAGAGGCATCATGTGGATAAAAATGGCACAGTGAGTCATTATGATCCAAAATGCATTGCTTGAAAGAGTGGTCAAAGCAGATTCAGTAGTACCTTTCAAACAAGGAATTGAATGGCAGTGATAAAGTGTAAGAGAGTAAGATTAGTGAGAGACCTTTTTCAAAGTGTCGACACAGGCACAATGGGCCAATTGGCCTCCCTCTGCACTGGAAGATACTATTATTTGTAACTGTTAACTTAGTGCTCTGAGGCTATCAGCAGAGTGAAGTGCTGCAGAATAATCCTTTATTTTTACAAGGGATGAGAGACACTCTGCACAATAAGGGTCAGGTGTAGATGCTCCTGCATTAATCAACTTACTGACATAAACATGAGAAGTGGGTTTTTATTGTATCGCTAGAAAACCAAAGATCAGATCCCTAGCCTACTTCTGAGATCAGCCGAGAATTTGTTAGCCTCTATTTAATCATTCTCTGTTAAGTGCTGACTCTAATTACTGACTGCAAGGTCTGTCCTTACACAAGAGGTCAGTGTATCAATGACAAACCATTCAGCTGCAGTTCCTGCACCCTTTACTTTCTTAGGCAGAATGCGTGAAAGCATTTATTGACCTACATTCTTTGTGCGTGTTTCTCAGTGTCTCTCACTCTCTCTAACTTTCACTTTACCCATCTGTTTCTACACCTGTACCTTTATCGTTTTCTTTGCAGACCTACTCTTTTTTTCTCCTTTTCAATTTCTACAGCACTCTGTCTACATCCCTTCCCCTCTGTCTGTTTAATGTAGCATGTAGAGAACAACCTTGTTTCTTGATCCTTATTTGTTTGTTCTGTGTGGTGCTGTCTGACTGAACAGATCGTTAGAAACAAGAAAGACTCAAAGTATTGAGTAGGTAAGTTGACATCAGTCTTTTTCAAGAGTTGCATAAAGAGAAACTGACCTTAACAACTTCATCCTTCAAGTTGTAGAAGAGGAGCTCAGGTTCCTTGTCATCCTGTAAGTCATACTGCAGATTATGACTGAAGGACAGAGCTAAGGAACTGTTTAAGCGATCCACTGGTGGAGAGCATGGGATCCATTGCCCATTCTGGGAGCTCATTGTTCACTGTGCAATCCTACATTCATCCAGTAAACTGATGAGTCTACCTACCAATTATACAAGAACTAACCATTGCTGCTTGAGTAAAGTTGAATATCAGAAATATTGAAGGGCACACAGAATTATAATGATATTACTTAAACCCGTTAATAATTACTCCAGAACTTGGACGCTTCAAATCCAGAAGATTGCATACTGTTTTCACGGCTACAGTGAATTCTGCGCATGAAAGAAACAATGGGAAAGAACGTGCACAACGCTTGTCGCCTCATTAAGGTCGTACAAAAGGATACTACAATGCCAATCGGTTCAGGAGAAACTGATACAGCTCTGGCATCTTCTTAATCGATCATCCAACCAAACTAGGAGCCTAAAAAGCAAAACCAAAATGCAGGATTAACAGGGTGCAGAGTGGGTGAAATTATCTTAATGAGTTGTTGTGTTAGTTACTGTAGCCAATGCCTCTGGTCAGTGAGTTCAATATGCATTTCACCATGCATGTAAATACATGCTCATTCTACTCCATTGTGCCAGGTTTTTCCATTATAGCTTTATTGGAATCAATATCAGACAGCAGTATTGGGATCAAAATAGTATTGGAGCATTAAACTTGAGCTTTAGCTGTTGGTCTGCCCCATTGTATGTATGCAGGTCTTATATTTTCACTCCCAAGGCAAATGCACAGGTCAAGGAAAATTCCCCACTCACTTCACCCACGACTGGAAAAGTGCCGGAGTAATGTATTCCTCATTCTGAGTGAGGTTTAGGGAGGCCATGTGGGTGCTTACTGGAGTCAGCCTGGAAACAGTTCAGGGGCAGCTGTGGGCTGCTGTGTGCCACATGCTGACATACTGATGCCTTGGTGCTTTAGAACTTTATCCCAGTTATGTTTTGAACATTAGGCCCTCTAGCCCTAGCGCCTCACACCCTAATAGGCACACAGTCTCCCCATTTGGCCCCTTTCCCTTTGAACCTATGCCCCTCTGTCCATCACCAACTTCCCCTTGTACCTTATAATAAAACCTATGCCCCTCATACCCTCCATGCCAACTGATTCCCCTTGACGAAACCCCTATGGTCCCTTACACCATCCATGTATACTCAACCCTTGATACCTTATGGCTTCCATGCCAAACAACATCCTCTACTAACTCCCATTGCCACGTATAACTCAAATGTCAACTGATTACAAAACATATCAGTACATGACTCTCTGCCTACCATCATTTGGCCCTGCACACTCCATACCAACTCATCAGTATTAACCTCACGCATGGAATGTGGGCATTGCTGGGTGGACCAGCACTTATTGCCCATGTCTAGTTGTCCCTCATAAGGTGCTGCCTTCTTGAACCACTTGTAGTCCATTTGTTGTAGCGACACCCACAGTGCTTTTACTGATGTGTCCTAGGATTTTATCCCAGTGATGCTGAAGAATGGTGATATATTTCCAAGTCAGGACAGAGAGTGGCTTGAAGGGAAATCACAGGTGGTAATGTTTCCATGTATCTGGAGCCCTTGTCCTTCGATATGGAGTGGTCATACATTTGGAAGGTGCTGTCTAGGAAGGCTTTGTAAATTTCTGCAGTGCATTTTGTAGACAGTAGTCAGTGTTGGTGGGAGAGAATGTTTATATATGTAGTGCTAATCAAGCGGGCTGCTTTGTCCTGGATGGTGTCAAGCATCTTGAGTGTTGTTGGAGCTGCACCCATCCAGGCAAATGGAGAGTATTCCATCACACTCCTGACTTGTGCCTTGTAGATGGTGGACAAGCTTTCGGGAGTCAGGAGTTGAGTTACTCACTGCAGAATTCCTGGTCTCTGACCTGCTCTTGTCACCACAGTATTTATTTAGCTAATCCAGTTCAGTCTCTGATCAATAATAATGCCTAAGAAGTTGATAATGGGAGAATTCAGCAGTAATAATGCCATTGAATGCCAATGGATGATAGGTAGATTCCCCGGTTATATTCCACTTGTCAGCACAAGACTGGATATTGTCCAGGTCTTGCAGCATTTGGACATGACCTGCTTCAGTATCTGAGGAATCATGAATGGTGCTGAAAATTATGCAATTGTCTTCTGACCTTCTGATCTTATGGTGGAGGAGGGTCATTGATGAAGCAGATGAAGATGGTGGGAGCTCAGACGCATCCCTGAGGAGCTCCTACAGAGATGTCCTACAGCTGAAATGGACCTGTTACAACCTCAACCTTCTTACTGTCGGCCAGGTAAGACTCTAAACTGCGGAGATATTTCCCCCAATTCTCACTGGCTCCAGTTTCGCTTGGGTTCCTTGAGATCACGCTTGATCAAAGGCAACATGGTGTCAAGGACAGTCATTCTCAGCTCCCCTCTAGAGTTCAGAACTCTTGACCATGTTTGAATTAATGCTGTTATGTGGTCAAGAGCTGAGTGGCCCAGATGGAAGCCTAATCAGGCTTCACTGAGCAGGTTATTGCTGAGCAAGTGCTGCTTGATAGCACTGTTGCACCTTGACAGCACCTTTCTATCGCTTTACTGATGAACGAGAGTGAACTGATGATAATTGATCAGCACACTATTGTACTGGAGAGGATACAGAGGAAATTCACCAGGATGTTGCGTGAGCTGGTGAATTTCAGCTGTAACAAAAGACTAGATACTTTCACTTGTTTTTCTTAGAACAAAGAAGGCTGAGGCAGGGCCTGGTTAAGGTGTACGAAATTATGTGTGGCGTGGGTAGGATAAATAGGAAGACATTTTCTCTTGCAAAGGGGTCAATAACCGGGGGCATAGATTTAAGGTAAAGGACAGAAAGTTTAGAGAGGTTTTAGGGAAGAATTGGGATGGGTTGGGTATCAGTAACACACTGCCTGAAAGGATGGTAGAGATGGGAACTCTCACAACTTTGGATGATTCTTAAAGTAACATAACATACAAGGCTACTCACCAAGTGCTGGACATGGGACTAGAATAGATAGGTGCTTGATGACCAGCATGAACATGATGGGCTGAAAAGTCTCTTTTTATGTTGTAAATCTCTATGACCATTACTTATAAGCATGAAACTCACTCCTGTTCTCCTCCCAGAGTTCTCAACAGGTAAAAGCCAAGATACCCCATTTAGTTTCAGCTTCTAATTCAGTTACAGGACTGAGGGTCCTGCCTCCCCATCCTTCTGCAATATATAGGTTTTATTTTAAAGGATAAGGCTTCCCCCTTCATTTGTTCACACTTTTTCCAGATTTGTCAATGTCCTGCAATGTGGGCCTTGCCTTCCTCTCAGCTTCTTAATGATAAAAGAGGTACTTACAGCTAGTGTTGCTCGAGCTATTTCCATTTCTTCAAGATTCACCTCTTCTGCTGCCTTCTGTCCATTGGCATGATGGATGGTCAATGCCACAGCACATGACAGCAATGCCAACAGCATCTTCCCTAAGAGACCAACTGAGGACCACGTGGCAAATTCATGACTTATAACCATCTGAGGGCTAAACCATTGTCCAGAGGGAGGAGACCCAGTGAGGACTGAATGCAAGGTTTCATAACTCAAAATTGAGGTAAATGTGCATGCGGAAATAAATGAACTGCTGCACTGAGTTCATTGATGAGTGCAGTCTTTCACTTGGCTTGTGCTCTCTGCAATGTATCTGTATGAAGATGGTCTGTTCCTTGTCCGACCTGCAACAGGTGTCGGCTCACTTTCTTTCCCAGCGAGGTATTAATGTTTACTCAAGGCAACAACCACACGTCAGCAGAACAACTGAAGAGGTGCTAAGCTGCCAGCAGAAAGCTGCTCCATATTTTAGACATCAGGCTTCTAACAGCCTACCAAAGACCTACAGCACCAGCTTAAAGAGAAGTTGTAGTTTTATTTTCATCAGCAGACCAGCACACATCAGAAATGTGAAGCCGATGGATACAAGCTTGCACATTCAGTGATATGGAAAAAGCCAGTGGTTACTTCCTGAAAAATATCTCCAAAATCTCCACCCCATTTTAGCCAACTGCTGCTGAGATCCCTTTGACTTTATTTTCATTCATTCACGGGACATTACCCATCCCTAATTACTCAGGGGGCAGTTGGAAGTCAACCACATTGCTGTGAGTCTGGAGTCACGTGTAGGCCAGACCAGGTAAGAGTGGCAGATTTCTATCCCTAAAGGATATGAGTGAGCCAGGTGAGTTTGTCCTGACAGTCAGCAACAGTTTTGTGGTCATCAGATCAGATCTCAATTTTTTTCCTTATTGAATTCAAATTCCACCGTCTGCCACAGTAGGATTTGAACCTGGGTCTCTAGATTAATAATCTGGCATTAATACCACTAGGCCATCACCTCTCCTACATTGGAAATGGTGCTTCCTGCCTCCTAATAAAGGGGGTGCAGGAGCAGAGGGACCTGGGTGTATATGCGCACGGCTCATTGAAGGTGGCAGGACTGGTGGAAATGCAGTTTGAAGCATGTGGTGTTCTCAGCCTTGTTATCAGAAGTATAGAGTACAAAAGCCAGGAGGTGATGTTGAACTTGTACAAGACTCTTGTCAACTCTCAGATAGAGTATTGTATACAGTTCCAGGTGCCACATTACAGGAAAGATGTAAATGCATTGGACAGAGCGCAAGAGCGATTTATAAGACTGATTCCAAGAATGAGATCCTTCGGTTATGAAGATAGATTGAAGAAGTTGGGACCGTTCTCTCTGAGGAGACAAAGGCTGAGAGAAGATTTGATAGAGGTTTTCAAAGTCATGAGTGAGCAGGCTTGTAGAATAGATTGGAAGGAAGTAAAAGGAACAAGAATGAGAAGGCATAAGTTTAAAGTGATGTACAAATGAAACAAGAGATACATGAGAGAGAAAAAAAAACTCTCTTAGACAGTGGGTAGTTAGGATATGGAATGTATTGTCCAGAAATGTGGTGGAAGCAGGTACAATTGAGGTACTCAAGTGGGCACTGGGTGATTATTGAATTTAATTATTTTGAATTAGAATTAGCTTTGCTGTCACATGTACTCAAATGCGTACAGTGAAAAGTTTACAAGTTGCCATTACTGCGCCATCTTAGATACAAGGTACCCAGGTACAGATTCTTCAGTACATTTCTCAGGAAAAAAACCAGAAAAATAAAAAAAATAAGGAGTCCAGCATTATAGAACATAGGAACAAATTAGAAAATAGAGAAATAAAAACTTCAGAACAATAGTCCTTCCAACCCAGTCCACACTGGTACTGAGCCTTGACTCCAGATTGTGCCGGGCTTCACCTTGAGGCTATCAAGGCTGGGAAACGGCTCTGGAATCACCTCAAGGCTGGAAGCACATGCTTGGGCCACGTCAGGCCAAAAACCACAATGGGCCCTTGAAAGACCACCACGTCAGGTCAAGAGATCACCACGCAGGGCTGAGAGATCAACACACAGGACTGAGAGATCACCATGCAGGGCTGAGAGATCACCACGCAGGGCTGAGAGATCACCATGCAGGGCTGAGAGATCGCAGGGCTGAGAGATCACCACGCAGGGCTGAGAGATCATCACGCAGGGCTGAGAGATCACCACGCAGGGCTGAGAGATCACCACGCACAGCTGAGAGATCACCATGCAGGGCTGAGAGATCACCATGCACAGCTGAGAGATCACCACACAGGGCTGAGAGATCATCACACAGGGCTGAGAGATCACCATGCACGGCTGAGAGATCACCACGCAGGGCTGAGAGATCACCACACAGGGCTGAGAGATCACCATGCAGGGCTGAAAGATCACCACGCAGGGCTGAGAGATCACCACACACAGCTGAGAGATCACCACACAGGGCTGAGAGATCATCACGCAGGGCTGAGAGATCACCACGCAGGGCTGAGAGATCACCACGCACGGCTGAGAGATCACCACACAGGGCTGAGAGATCACCACGCAGGGCTG